GCCATGGGCGCAGCCCCCTTGGGACGCGACGGGTTCTGTCGATCCGTCGCCGCCGGCCGCGCCGGGGCCAGCAGCGCGGAGGCGCGTCGCCGCCAAGAAGACAGACGGCTCCATCCCCCGCAGCGTAGTCAGCGCCCGCGGCGGCGGCGACTCCCGAGAGCGAAGCTCCCGGGCCTCTCGTTGAAGCTAGAGTTCGTCCAGCGCGCGCGGGGCGGCGAGCGCGCTCTGGACGGAGCTGCAGGGCGTGCAGCGGAACCCGCGTGACGCGCGCGCTCATACCTGGAGAGCGTCGGCTAGCGACGCCTGGAGCACGGACATGGAGACGTCAACAGCGCGCCCGAGGAAGGCCAGAGACAGCGCCAGGCCATGCGCATATCGCAAGACAAAGCAGGCGGGCGATCGAGGTGGGTTGGCAACCACCTGGCAGACGACGCGCAGCTCGAGCAACGGCTGACGACCCAGCTCCTGGAGCTGGAATACCACGACCGGACGGAGTTGCGGATGCTGACGACGTGCCAAACGGATGTGAGATTGCCACCGGGCCAGCACCAGCGGCGCTGGAAGAAGAGCTGGAAGAAGAGCAGGCCATGGACGGACACTGGTCGAGCTGGGACTCGGGTTCGACAAGGCGCGCGCTGTCCAGGAACAACGAGGCGATGTCTCGGCGCGTTCTCCGACGCCTACATCTTCGATAGCTTCACGCCAACAAGAAGGTCATGAAGCGCATGCTCAGCGCCGCCGGCGCTTCGCCCAAGGTGGTCCGGATGGTCGACGACATCGTGGATACCTGCAGGGTCTGCAGGCTGTGGACGAAGGGCGGCAATAGGCCGTCCACGACGGTAAAACTGAGTGTCGAGTTCAACGACGAAGCGCAGCTGGATCTTCTCTTCTACGAGCGAAGGGTAATTGGACATTTGTGCGATGAGTGCATTTTGCGCACAGTCGCCCGTGAGGTGGTGGACAAATCCGTAGAGTACCTCTTCGGCTTTATCTGGGCCCTATGGCGGTGCTGACTGTCGGTGGTGAAAGGGGCCATGGCATCGGAAGAAGCAGGAGTGGCTCTCGGAAGAATCGGCACTACACGAAAGCTCAAGGCACCAGGTCAGCACGCACAGACGGTGGAGCGGTACCACGAGATGTTACGGAGGCAGCTACAACTGGCTGACGCCCAGTGCCGCGCGAACGATAACAAGGTCCCGTTCGCCAGGAGGCTGGCGGAGGCCGTCTTCGCGAAGAATGCGTTCCTGACGATCGGAGAGGGCGCTCCCTACGAAGCGCCATGCGGCAGGGTGCCTTTCCTGCTCAGAGATTTCGAAAGAAGTAGAGAATGACGACGAGAAGACTGTCGGACGACGACGAGATTTCGAAAGAAGTAGGGTGCCTCTTCTGTCAGGTTTGACGACGAGGATGGGTTGGCTATCTTTCGGCACGCACAGAGGCTGCGCGAGATTGCGACAACGTCGATCACCGAGGCGACGGCATAGGCCAGGATGGAGGGAGCAGCGAAGTCGAGAGCGGCCCGGCGCTGGAAGACCTAAAACTCGAGATCGGCGATCTTGTGGATTTCCACAATCACGGCAAGGCCCCGAAGGACGTGCCAAATTGGAAGGGCCCAGCAAAGGTTGCGTCAGCGGCCGCGCCAGAGACGGGCGCGCTGACAATCCAGCGGGGCAGGCTCGAGACATGGCGATCAAGGCCACTGACGTCAGAAGGGCGATTACGTGCACCTACGCCGCGTCGCGTCGACGGAAAGCGACCCAGCTCGGGTGCCCATCGACTTCGCGCGCGATATCGGCGAGGGCTTCGAACACCTAAGGCTGAGCGAGTACCTCAGAGGGTTGGCCGTTGACGAAGGTATCTCAGAAGTGCCCCGGAGTGGTGGCGGCAATGCTGCAGGTGGCTTCGTGCGGCTTGCATCCCGATGGAGTCGTGGCGGCGCGAGTTGGCAGGAAGGCGCCGACGCTGCCTGGGCTGCGCGACTTCGAGTTCTACTCGATGCGCTGGTGGACGCCGAGGAGACAAGGCAAGGAAGGCACGGGCGTGGAAGCGATGTGCTACGGTGAAGGCGCAGCTTCGGAACATCTGAGCTTGCGACAGATCTTCGGCGAAGCATATTGGAGCAACACCTGTTTCATGCAGTTCCTCACCGTAGAGCCCGATGTGCCGGAGATCCTGCAGGAGCAGGCCCCTCGGGCACCGCGCGCGGGGGGGTCTCTGCCCGGCGCGGGCGCTCGGTGGCGAGACCATCGCGCGATAGCCAAAGCCTGCTCTCAGCAGGCTCGCAGGGCCCCGAGAGACCGGCAGCGCACGCGGCAAGGAGGCTGGAAGACGAATCGCTTGTGACGACGCCGACACCTCCACATCCTCCGCCTGGACTGCCACACCCTGCTGCAGGAGCGACAGCGACAGCAGCCGTGGAGGGGTCGAACGAGGAGGAAGATATGGATAACAGTCTCGATGCGCTATACTCGGTCGAGCCACTCTGGGCGACGCCGAAAGAAGGCAAGGATATGCCAGATGAGGATGATGTTTTAGAATGCGTGTCTGACGGAGGAGCCAGACACCTCGGCCATCGACAGGAGCGACGTAGAGACCTGGATGACCCAGGACGACAACAACGGCAAGCTGACCACAAAGACTGCGGAGTCTCTGCAGCCCGAGAAGATTATGCATATTGGTTCTGCAGCATAGGCATGGAATGCTAAACGGACCCTACATCGCGGGAGATCCCCGACACGAAGACGACGCGGTGAGTCTCACTTTCTACGGGGGCGGCACCGCGAAGGCAGCGCTAGAGCGCGACGACGACATTCTGACGCCGGCCGAAAAGATAGAACACCGAGAAACGACACGAGCCGGACGCCTCAAGGAATTGCGCCACTGGGCAGGCTCTCAGGCCATGTCCAGGGCTTCGCGGATGAACGCCAAGAACCTCATCGACGCGAAGTGGGTCGACAAATGGAAGTGGACACAAGCACCTGACGGCACTACGACGATGATCATTCGCTGCAGGTTGACAGCTCGTGGGTTTAAGGACCGTTATAAGGATGAAGTTAAGGCCTCCACGGCGACGAGCACCTGCTGGGGGCAGCGAATGGTGAATGTACTGGCGGCTCAACACCGGTGGAAGCTATGCTGCGCGGACATCTCCTCGGCACTTCTGCGGGGTATGACGTTTGAAGAGGTGTCGCAGCTGCTGAACGAGAGCCTATCCGAGAGATGTTTCGAGCTGCCCGTGGGGTCGGCAGAATTGCTATGCCAGGTCGAGGGCTCCGAGGGTTTCAACAGCGTCTTGGAGGTGCTACGAATGGAAAAGGGGGGCTTCGGTCTCAACGACGCTCCCTGCCTCTTCGGCCTTCGACGCGATCAAGTGTTGTTGTCGGTTGGTACTCGAGCAACTCATGCCGATTCCCAACTTTGGCTGAAGCACGTTGGTCAGGTTCTGGTTTTGGTGGTCTCCACGCACCTGGATGACCTGGAGTGCGCCGGGAAGGGCAAGGCCGTGAACGAGATGATACGAGCGCTGGAAACGGTTTCGGCTAGATGGCTACGCATGAGAAGAATTTAGTGCATTGCGGACTCCGACACCGACGATTAGTTGTTATGAGCATAGAGTGAACCACACGGAGTACATCAAGAACCTGAACTGCATCGACGACAAGGAGCTACAAGGCAAGAGTGACAAGGACGACCCGCCGGAGAAGCATGCGAAGCTGTATCCGTCCCTCCTTGGGGCTATTGCGTGGCGGACCATGACGAGAGTGTATATATGCATATACATGGCGGCTTTGCCGAGGCATGGTAAGGCTCCCAAGGTGGGCTACATCAGGAAGATGAATGTGTTGCTGAAGTATATAAAATCCAGTGTCCCTGGTGACCCATCAGCTGAAGCTGCCGGCGAGGGTAGTTACAGTTGGCGACGAAGCCTTCAGGAGAGAACCTGACGACACTTGGCCATGATGGGGCGCAGTATATCGTCTGGTGGAAAGCTGGAGAAGGACCAGGAGGCAAATGCAACATGCTGGAGTACTATGCGAGGAAGCAGGCTCACGTGGTGAGAAGTACCTGGGGAGCTGATCTATGCCAGCTATCGGATGGATGTGTGTACCTTCTTCTGTTGGCGGGTTTCCTGGCAGAGGTTCAGATGGGAGATATGAGTGTACGACGGTTGCGAGACATGGTGGATGGCGCTGAGAACTGCATGATGCCAGGACTGCCGCTGGAAGCTAGTGTAGATTCGCAGAGTGTGTTCTCGGGCATTACGGTTGAGCAAGTCAGGCTGAGCAAGTCAAGATGCCGACCGAGAGGCAAACGCTGTATCACGCACAATGGATACGGGAGCTGCTGGACAGACCCATCCTACGAGTACTGTGGTGTATCGACACGAGAGGCACGGAGGTGCGTCGCACGAGGATGGTGGAAGGTTCAACACCTTGGCATGGCTTGGAAGTCGACGGGCCGAGTGTTCCATGGATCGAGTCAGATTTCGAGTGGAGAACTGGCGACGACGAAGAGGGCCTCTTAATATACGTATCGATTTTGTGGGATCGTATTCTCTGGCGGGCAGGCTCCTGCGCCTGCTGAGGATCAACGACCTGAACACGTTTACCACAAGAGTCAAGAACTGAGGGTGGGACGCGGGGAGCAAAGGCAGCACGGGCGAACATGGCGACCCGCTGCGGCGGCGCGCGCCTGCGCCCAAAGGCGCGGACATCGGAGAGAGTATTGGTGCGGCTGTGGCGCCAGCGTCGGGAGAAAAGGCCTCTCGGCTGAAGGGGGGAGGAGGAAGGAGGAGGAGGAGGCGGAGGAGGATGGAGGAGGAGGAGGAGGAAGAAGGAGGAAAAGGAGGAAGGAGGCGGAGAATGGAGGAGATGGGGGAGGGGCGAGGGGTTCGGTGGAACCACTGCGGGGGAGCACCCCGCGAGCAGGCCTTGCGACGCGCGGCTCGCAGAGGCGGGCCGCTCGGGGTGCCGCTCGTCGCGCGCCCGCGCGAGCCCGAGGCCTCCGGGAGCCCTGCCGCCGAGCTTGCGAGCAGCCTCTCGTTCAAGGCCGCCGCGGGTCGCCCCTGCCGCCCCCCCATCATCATAATCATCATCAGCAGCATCGTCATCACCATCGTCACTTTCATCAGCATCATCAGCATCAGCATCATCAGCATCAGCATCAGCATCAGCATCATCATCATCATCATCATCATCATCATCATCATCATCATCAGCATCAACATCATCATCATCATCATCATCATCATCATCATCATCATCATCATCATCATCGTCATCGTCATCGTCATCGTCATCATCATCATCACCATCATCATCAGCATCATCATCATCATCATCATAATCATCGTCACCGTCATCGTCATCGTCATCAGCATCATCAGCATCATCAGCATCATCATCGTCATCATCATCAGCATCATCATCAGCACCATCATCAGCATCATCATCTGCATCTGCACCGTCATTTGCATCATCAGCACCAGCATCAGCAGCTTGCGCGTGCAGTGCGGGCTGCGACGGGCGCGCGCCGTGTTCAGCTCTCCAGCGAGAATTCCCGCACGGACGGACGACCAGGGCAAGCTTGAAACGTTCGGAGTTTTGCGCGGATTTTTTGGATCGGCGCTGGGCCCCCCTCCTCCTCCTCCGCCTCCTCCTCCTCCTCCTCCTCCTCCTCCTCATCCTTCTCCTCCTCCTCCGCCCCATCTCCAAGGGTCGGCCTTGGCGGCGCCTGAGGCACCGCCACAGGCGCGCTGCGCGCGCCAAGAAGGGGCGTCCAGCGCCGATCCCAGAAATCTGTGCGGACCTCCGAAAGTTTAGTTTTATTCAGCCTGTTGTTCCTCTAATTTCAATGCTTTTCATCATGCTTGGTATCTGCGGGCCGCCATCGGGCCCCAGGGCCATCAGAAATGAGTCTGGGGCGCGCAAAGCTGCCCTTGGGGAAGGGGTCGGGACCTTCGCGAGGCCGCTAAAGGAGAATAAGATCGAGTAGAGTGGAGGCGAGCCTATTAGAGTTGAGTAGAGTAGGAGTAGAGTAGGAGCAGAGTAGATTAGGTTAGGGTAGAGCAGAGGATAATAGAGTATAACAGAGTGCTTAGGGTAGAGTGGTGCGGTAGAGCAGAGTCGGGTGGAGTGGAGTGGAGTCGAGTAGTGTGGAGTGGATTCCACCCCAGCCCAGTCCAGTATACTCTAGTCCAATTGACTTCAGCCCACTCGAACGAAGGATTGCAAAAAAAACCTTTTTTGCAATCCTTTTTTTGCACGAAGGGTTTTTTTTTGCAATCCTTTTTTTTTGCAATCCTTTTTTTTGCAATCCTTTTTTTTGCAATCCTTCGTTCACTTCATGTCAGTCTTCCGATCTATCTGGACTCTGCGCTGGCTGATGTTTCCCTCCGGGCGGCGCCGCGAGAGGAGCGCATCTGCGACCGGCTTCGGTCGCTCTGCCGCGGCCACGAGGAGGCCGCGGTGCTCGCGGACTACGTGGCGACGCTGGCGGAGGCGAGGAGGAACTGGGAGGAGCACCCTCCGCGGCGAAGCCAAAGGGCGACGAGGAGGAGGAGGAGGAGGAGGAGGAATGGGAGGAGAGAGGGAGGAGGAGGAGGAGGAGGAGGAGGAGGAGAGGAGGAGGCGGAGGAGGAGGAGGGGAGGAGGAGGCGAAGGACGAGAAAGACAGGAGGAGTGTGAGGAGGAGAGGAAGATGATGAGGAGGAGGAGGAGAGGAGGAGGAGGAGGAGGAGCAGGAGCAGCAGCAGGAGGAGCAGACTGTAGCAGGAGGACCAGGAGGCTGGGAAGAGGGCGGGGGATGGCCAAAGGGAGGGCGGGCATCAGGGGAGGGCAGGGCGAGCCGCGCCGTGAGCGGCCAGGTCGCGGCGCGCCCAGCGTTTGCGATCTGCGTCGTTGGGGGGTTCCTCCTCCTCCTCCTCCTCCTCCTCCTCCTCCTCCTCCTCCTCCTCCTCCTCCTCCTCCTCCTTGGGGAGGCACCACGCTGCCCTCGTCGGGCCTCCTCGGGGCGCGGTGGAGAACTCTGTCGAGGTCCTCGCCGACGCATCGCCAACGTCGCCAGCGCAGCCTCGATGCATCGGCGATACACCGGCGATGCGACGCAATCCTCCGACCCCATCTACTCAGGCCCCACCCGGGAGCCCTCCAATCGCGACGGGAGGCCTGTCACAGATTTCGGCCTCTGGGGGCGCTCACCGTGCCCCCAGGGCCGTCAAAGAAGAACTCGGGACGAGAAGCCAGTCTCAGGGAAGGGGTCCAGACGACTGGGTGGCCACGCAGTTAAAAACACGACGTGGGCGGTTGCCCCGCCCTCGATGAGCAGAGGCCCTGGCCCGAAACTCCGTTCTAGACCGTGTATCATATGTAGAGAGGGGGGAGGGGAAACAGTTACCATAAACCTTTGACTCAAGCATTGATCATTGGAACGTTTCGCGTAGTCCCGCTGTGAAAACACGATCGCCGCCACGTCCCAGTGCAATTCATTCTCCAGGGTTTGCGGGAAGAGGAGGGGCAAGGGGTGTGGCCGAGACAGCGGCATGGAGATAGCATTCGTGTTCACATCTGCGGTTAGAGGAGTAGGAGAAGGAGAAGGGAGGGGGAAGATGAGGAAACCCAGAGTGAAATGGGGGGATGAGGAGGATCAGGAGTCGGAGGAGAAGGAGGAAGAGGAGGAAAAGAAGGAGAAGGAAGAGGATAAGGGGGAACAGGTAGGAGCATGAGCAGCAGCAGCAGCAAGAGTGCCACGAGGTCGAGGAAGAGCGGCATGAGGAGCAGGAGGTCGATGAGAGGAAGGGGGATGAGGAGGAGGAGGAGGAGGAGGAGGAGGAAGAAGAAGAGGAGGAGGAGGAGGAGGAGGAAGAGGATGTGGAAGAGGAGGAGGAGGAGGAGGAGGAGGAACGCACACCAAACGTTGGAATGAACACCACACGAACTCCGGACAGTTCGGGGCGGAGACCCACGCAGCCAGCCCGTGGGAAATCCAACCCCGCGCCCTGTGCGGATCGCGCGCTCTTTCGCGGGCCCGGCGCACGCAGTCCGCTTGGCGCCGGCCGGCCCCCGGGGGCAGGCCAGCGGCTGCCGCGGGCGCCGGCGCGCTGCAGCAGCCGTCGCGAGCTGCCTTGCCAGAGCGGCTCCGCCTGTCACCCTTCCCGGCAGGGGGTCCTTGGCTGCTGATGTCAATCTCAAACTCCTCCTCCTCCTCCTCCTCCTCCTCCTCCTCCTCCTCCTCCTCCTAATCCTAATCCTGTTCCTCCTCCTCCTCCGAACACGTAGGTGCGACGCTGTCTTTTTCCCCACATCCTGAGTGGGGTTCTTGTTTTCCCAGAACATCCTCTCCTCCTCCTCCTCCTCCTCCTCCTCCTCCTCCTCCCGCTTCCTCCACCATCCCATACTGTATCATACCATACCAATACCATGCCACTCCATACCATACCTTACCATACCATACCATGCATCCACCATCCCATACCATACCATGCCTTTCCTCACACCATGTTATTTATCAGGTTTCGTGCCCCTCCCACCCCTCCAGGGAGGCCCCGCCTGAGCGAGCAGGGTATTCGCACACCATGTTATTTATCAGGTTTCGTGCCCCTCCCACCCCTCCAGGGAGGCCCCGCCTGAGCGAGCAGGGTATTCGCACACCATGTTATTTATCAGGTTTCGTGCCCCTCCCACCCCTCCAGGGAGGCCCCGCCTGAGCGAGCAGGGTATTCGCACACCATGTTATTTATCAGGTTTCGTGCCCCTCCCACCCCTCCAGGGAGGCCCCGCCTGAGCAGGGTATTCGCACACCATGTTATTTATCAGGTTTCGTGCCCCTCCCATCAGGTTTCGTGCCCCTCCCACCCCTCCAGAGGGGCCCCGCCTGAGCGAGCAGGGTATTCGCACACCATGTTATTTATCAGGTTTCGTGCCCCTCCCACCCCTCCAGGGGGGCCCCGCCTGAGCGAGCAGGGTATTCGCACACCATGTTATTTATCTGGTTTCGTGCCCCTCCCACCCCTCCAGGGAGGCCCCGCCTGAGCGAGCAGGGTATTCGCACACCATGTTATTTATCAGGTTTCGTGCCCCTCCCACCCCTCCAGGGATGCCCCGCCTGAGCGAGCAGGGTATTCGCACACCATGATATTTATCAGGTTTCCTGCCCCACCCATCCCTCCAGGGAGGCCCCGCCTGAGCGGGCAGGGTATTCGCACACCATGCTAGGAAGGGTGTTTGCACACCATGTTATTTATCAGGTATCCTGCCCATCCCACCCCTCCAGGGAGGCCCCGCCTGAGCGAGCACGATATTCGCACACCATGTTATTTATCAGGTTTCGTGCCTCTCCCACCCCATCCAGGGAGGCCCAGCCTGAGCAAGCAAGGTATTCGCACACCATGTTATTTAGCGGGTTTCGTGCCCCTCCCACCCCTCCAGGGAGGCCCCGCCTGAGCGAGCAGGGTATTCGCACACCATGTTATGTATCAGGTTTCGTGCCCCTCCCACCCCTCCAGGGAGGCCCCGCCTGAGCGAGCAGGGTATTCGCACACCATGTTATTTATCAGGTTTCGTGCCCCTCCCACCCCTCCAGGGAGGCCCCGCCTGAGCGAGCAGGGTATTCGCACACCATGTTATTTATCAGGTTTCGTGCCCCTCCCACCCCTCCAGGGAGGCCCCGCCTGAGCGAGCAGGGTATTCGCACACCATGTTATTTATCAGGTTTCGTGCCCCTCCCACCCCTCCAGGGAGGCCCCGCCTGAGCGAGCAGGGTATTCGCACACCATGTTATTTATCAGGTTTCGTGCCCCTCCCACCCCTCCAGGGAGGCCCCGCCTGAGCGAGCAGGGTATTCGCACACCATGTTATTTATCAGGTTTCGTGCCCCTCCCACCCCTCCAGGGGGGCCCCGCCTGAGCGAGCAGGGTATTCGCACACCATGTTATTTATCAGGTTTCGTGCCCCTCCCACCCTCCAGGGAGGCCCCGCCTGAGCGAGCAGGGTATTCGCACACCATGTTATTTATCAGGTTTCGTGCCCCTCCCACCCCTCCAGGGAGGCCCCGCCTGAGCGAGCAGGGTATTCGCACACCATGATATGTATCAGGTGTCCTGCCCCCCGATCCCTCCAGGGAGGCCCCGCCTGAGCGAGCAGGGTATTCGCACACCATGCTAGTTATCAGGTTTCGTGCCCCTCCCACCCCTCCAGGGAGGCCCCACCAGAGCGGGAAGGGTGTTCGCACACCATGTTTTTTATCAGGTATCTTGCCCATCCCTCCCCTCCAGGGAGGCCCCGCCTGAGCAAGCAGGGTATTCGCACACCATGTTATTTATAAGTTTTCGTGCCTCTCCCACCCCTCCAGGGAGGCCCAGCCTGAGCAAGCAAGGTATTCGCACACCATGTTATTTATCAGGTTTCGTGCCCCTCCCACCCCTCCAGGGAGGCCCCGCCTGAGCGAGCAGGGTATTCGCACACCATGTTATTTATTGGTTTCGTGCCCCTCCCACCCCTCCAGGGAGGCCCCACCAGAGCGGGCAGGGTATTCGCACACCATGTTATTTATCTGGTTTCGTGCCCCTCCACCCCTCCAGGGAGGCCCCACCAGAGCGGGCAGGGTATCCGCACACAATGTTATGTATCAGGTTTCGCGCCCCTCCCAACATTCCAGGGAGGCCCCGCCAGAGCGGGCAGGGTATTCGCACACCATATGATTTATCAGGTTTCATGCCCCTCCCACCCCTCCAGGGAGGCCCCACCAGAGCGGGCAGGGTATCCGCACACCATGTTATTTATCAGGTTTCGCGCCCCTCCCAACATTCCAGGGAGGCCCCGCCAGAGCGGGCAGGGTATTCGCACACCATCTGATTTATCAGGTTTCATGCCCCTCCCACCCCTCCAGGGAGGCCCCACCAGAGCGGGCAGGGCATTCGCACACCATATTATTTATCAGGTTTCGTGCCCCTCCCGCCACTCCAGGGAGGCCCCGCCAGAGCGGGCAGGGTATTCGCACGCCATATTTTATTATTAGGTTTCGTGCCGTTCCCGCCCCTCCAGGGAGGCCCCACCAGAGCGGGCAGGGTATCCGCACACCATATTATTTATCAGGTGTCGTGCCCCTCCCACCCCTCCAGGGAGGCCCCACCAGAGCGGGCAGGGTATTCGCACACCATATTATTTATCAGGTTTCGTGCCCCTCCCACCCCTCCAGGGAGGCCCCACCAGAGCGGGCAGGGTATTCGCACACCATATTATTCATCAGGTTTCGTGCCCCTCCCACCCCATCCAGGGAGGCCCCACCAGAGCGCAGACAAGAAGCAATGGAACCCCGTAACATCTTTATGTGGGGAACTCCGTTAGCATAATTTTTTCACAGCGTGGCTCCCCTGGCTCCCCAAACCAGAGGTTTGGACTTCACCACCCACCAAACCACGCCAACCCAACCCGAAGGCCTCAATTTGCCCTCCATTTCCAGTGGGGGGCGGGGGTCGGGGAACGTTGAAGAAACACATGGAACCCGTACCCCCCCAACCCGA